CGAGTGGCTTGTTCAGCCTCAGTTTTGTAAATTTTTGACATTTTCAAAGCTTCATTGGCGTAATGACAATGCATCTTTTCCTCTTGTATAGCTGTAATATATAAATGGTTAATGATATCGCGAATAGAATGGCGAAGATCATTTGTCGCCAAAGGTGAGACTAAGAAGTTCTTAACCGTAGCGGCGGCTTCGAGTAGGTAAGCCTGGAAGGTTTGAATGGCTCGAAGTTTATCAGTTTCTTCAGCATTATAGGCAACATGGGCGAGTTGTGTGACTGCTTTGGCTTTCGCTTAAAGTTGGTCTAGTGTGGATTTGGCATCTATGGCGAAGTTAGCGGCATTGACGGAGAAATAGTGGAAATAGTGGGCTATTTGGTTCCATGCCTCAGCTTTCGCGAGATGGTGCTCGTAGCGTATCAGGTTGTTTTTCTCCTGCTCAGTAGCTTCAGCACTTCTGAGTTCTAAAGCTTTCGAATTTCCGATTGTGTCTTCAAAATTGACCATGACTTGCTGAGATTTTGCAACGGCGTCTTCATAATTCTTGGTGCCGGAAGAGCCAACATGTTCTCCGAAGGAAATCATATTGTTCAAGCCACTAACACTTTTCATCTTGAATTTATTTAACCACAAGATTGCCTCAGACACATCGTTCCCTGCACCCTTGAGTACTCCAGGTGAAGTGACGCGCTCTTCTCCAGCCACTGGAGATTCCAGTTGATCTCCGCTCCCTCTAAGAGATCTTCTGGGCAACGTCTTTGTGTCAGAATCACTGACTGGCAACTTGTCATGGTATTGCGTTATATCAGACTTGATCTGGACAGATTCAGCAGCTGTGCGAATGCTACTCGCGATGAGGATAGCAGTGGCCACGTAAAATGCACCTCGCATGAGTTGAAAAGATTTCGAACTTGATTGACTTTTTTGATTTATGTGATTGTCAACTACCATTGATTGACATGTTAATATTATTACTTTTAGAACTCATAAGAACATGTTAATTGATTGGACACATCATAGCTTTTATACCCATCAAAAATTTGATTGATTGGTCACATCATAGCTTTTATACCTTATACCCATCAAACGCATTGTTGATTGGTTACTATCATAGCTAAGATACTCAGACGCAATGATATGTGGACATTTAACATAAATAAAATTATAGACATTATAAATTGCATTGACTCATTCAGTGAGTGAGAAAGCGCTTAATAAAACGTTCAATTTTTAGGTCTCACGCCTCTTTTTATATTCTCTCATCATTTTTGGTTTTATGTTTGAGTAAAACGTAATTGTACTTTCGCTGGTTCTTGCATTAGCAAACAAGTTGTGTGTTTCTTGATGTCAAATGTCTATTCCCGAAGGAACCACATCCTTGAATTTGTCATTAACATATCTTTTATGAGTATGGCATAGCCCTTTTGGTTGGGTCTTTTGAATATATCAAACACAAATAATACAAAGAAAACAACGCTACACACTCAACAAATTCAATTTGCTGCACGTTTAAAACAAGGCATCAGATCATCTGACGAAACTCGGACCATTATATAGTGAAGATGGTTTTCTCACTTTGTGAATACGAATGATTACTGCGTGTTGTCTATTCGTCTCGTAAGAAAGAAATAATCTGTTAGATTTGATAGCACTAGTCGATAATAAATACGATCAGTCCTTACAAATCAGCAGTCATATACTACGTAATTAATTGCTAATCACACTGGTGTGCATCACAATGAAAGTTGTACATTGGCACAGCAATCTGTATACGGTGTTAATGCTAAGGTCGGAGCTTCGGCTTTG